GCTATCTGTGGCTCTGATGGCAACACGAGACATGTATTCACAAGTTGCTGGAAGGTCTGTTCTAGCATAAGCCCAGCCGTTGGCCCCCTTTAAGAAATGAGGAGTCAACACCATCAAAGCACACAAGAAATCAGTAGAGTTCAAAGGGCGAGGCCTAACAGGAAGAGACATGCTTGCATCATGTGGAAACAAAGTACAGGCATAGCAGGAAGTGTTTAAGCCAGCAGTTTGCAGAATAGACCTGACCATGTTCCACCAAAAGTTCCCAGCTTGACCCTTAGACACCACACCAGCAAGAACAGGAGGGTATTGGACAGCCCCCCCAGGAAACCCAGCATCTAAGGACCTGAAAACAGGAGATAACTTGGTGATAACATTTGGGACACGAACAGATAGCCAGAAAGGTGCACAAACATCGTAGCCAGTTATGTAAGCACAAATGGTATAGAAACCAGTGTCAGATACAACAGCATTTGCAACGTGAAACATAARAGCTGGAGAAGTGTTGTTTACTTTCCAGATTTTGATCCTGTTCTTAATYTCAGAGACATCATCTTTAAGTGTGTATCCCCAGTCAGAGTAACCTGTTGTCCAAAGAGCCTCTGACCAGGAACTGCAGGCGGGGCACACATCAGGAATACTGTAACAGACATACATTTCAGCCCATATCATAAGAGCAATGTCCGAACAGTAAAAATAGTCACACGGGTTCAAAATGACAGTGCTAGTGGTACCCGCTGTAACAGAGATATTGGGCCCGTGCGTACAGTCATTGATCCAGGTGGAATGAGCTTTCAAACCAGGTGGGTGGGGGGCATCTTGATTAATCAGTTCTGGAACACGCCCACAGGTGAATGGGGTGAAAAAGAGCATAAGAAATAGTCTAGCAACAATGCACCCAGCCATTTTTCTAGGCTCAGGTGCAATCTTTCACTTCAAAGGATATGTAATCAGCCGATCACAAAACAGGAGCCGAGGTCGTAGCAGTGGCCTCGTGCTCAGATGTAGGAGTAGTACCGTCCGGTGCTACTCTGGGTAGATGCAGGACCTTCCTGCAATGGGAGTTGTGGATCCAAGTTGCACGCTCTGTGATTTTCACGGCCGTCCGGGTAACCAGTAGAACCTGGAATGGACCAATCCAATGCTCGGACTTCCAGGACTCCCGTCTGAGGTTCCTCACCAGGATGTGGTCACCGGGCCTCAGGTCGTGGAGGGGGTGGTCCGCTGGAGTCGGGAGAGCAGCTTTTACCTGCGAAC